GCCTTCAATTGAAGCTGCTTCTGCTCCGCCACTCTGCCATTGGACTCTTGATAGTCATCTCCCCACGCTGCTGCTGGGGGGACTTTTTAACATAGGCCTCTGTATGGCCTTCAATTTTAGCTGCTTACGCTCCGCCACTCTGCCATGGGCCTCTGTACCGCCTCCTCATGCTGCTGCCAGGCCCGTAATCTGTCATGGGCCCCTGTACCGCCTCCTCATGCTGCTGCCAGGTCCAGAGTGTGTCATGGGTCCCTGTACGGCCTCCCATTGCTGCTGTCTCCATCGCCACACTCTGCCATGTGCCACTTTCAGGTCTCCTCACACTGCTGCTGGGTTCCATTTTGTCATAGGGTGCTGACAGATTACAGGCCTCCCATTGCTGCTGCCAGGCCCCTAATCTGCCATGGGCCCCTGTACCGCCTCCTCATGCTGCTGCCAGGTCCACAGTGTGTCATGGGTCCCTGTACGGCCTCCCATTGCTGCTGTCTCCATCGCCACACTCTGCCATGTGCCACTTTCAGGTCTCCTCACACTGCTGGTGGGTTCCATTTTGTCATAGGGTGCTGTATGGCCTCCATTGCTGCTGCCTCCACCGCCACACTGTGGCTCCACACTCTGGTTTTGGCCCCGTGACTGCCCAAATGAGTGAAGTGTGCGGTGATTCTAAGATCGACGGCACTCATCTGCATGTCATACTGACTGACATATTATTTCTCTTCCCCAGCAGACTCCAAGGGCATTTAAGTTAAAGGTACAGTGTTCTGCACTAATATAAAGGCTCTCTGAAGCCTAGAAACCCTTTTAATAAGTTAAATTTGCAGCGAATATATTCGGCACGAAGCGAATTTAATCGGCGAATTCGGCGAATCAGCCGAACCGAATTTTTGAATAATTCGCTCATCTCTAGTAAAAATATATGTTAAAATGATTTTTTTTATATGTTAAAAAAAATCTGAAGAATATATTAAAAATATTTAAAGTATATTTTAAAAATACTCTTCCCAAATATATTGACATATATTTGAAAAACTACAATTTTGGCCGTATTCAATATATTAAAAAAAATATATATATAAAAAAATAAAATGTATATATAAATAAATAAATATATATATATATATATATATATATATACACTGTATTTCGCGCTCCATAAGACACACCTGACCATAAGACGCACATAGGTTTTTAGAGGCGGAAAACAAGAAAAAAAACATTCTGAACCAATAGACTGCAGACATAGTACAGGAAATGACCAGAGACTGCGGATACAGTACAGGAGATGACCGGAGACTGCGGACACCGTACAGGAGATGACCGGAGACTGCGGACACCGTACAGGAGATGACCGGAGACTGCGGACACAGTACAGGGATGACCAGAGACTGCGGACACAGTACAGGAGATGACCAGAGACTGCAGACACAGTACAGGAGATGACCAGAGACTGCGGACACAGTACAGGAGATGACCAGAGACTGCGGACATAGTACAGGAGATGGTCAGAGACTGCAGACACAGTACAGGAGATGACCAGAGACTGCAGACAGTACAGGAGATGACCAGAGACTGTGGACACAGTACAGGAGATGACCAGAGACTGCAGACAGTACAGGAGATGACCAGAGACTGCAGACACAGTACAGGAGATGACCAGAGACTGCGGACATAGTACAGGAGATGACCAGAGACTGCAGACAGTACAGGAGATGACCACAGGAGATGACCAGAGAGAGCGACCCATTCTTTCACCAATGTTTGTAGAAGCAGTCTGCATGCCTAGGGGCTTGATTGTATACACCTGTGTCCATGGAGGGGATTGGAACACTGGAATCTATCAGTGGTTCATATAGTGAACTCGGTGTAGTTATCCCCCCTGAGGTCATCACAGAGGACAAGGGGGCGCTCTTTACGTCTGGAGGAAAAGAAATGTCATCTCCAAACACGGAAAGGTTTCTTCACAGTAAGAGCTGTGAGAATGTGGAATAGACTCCCTCCAGAGTTGGTTGTGGCCAGCTCAGTGGATTGCTGTAGGAAAGTCCTGGATTCTTTCTTGGATACACAGAATATAACTGGATATAACATTTATAGGGAACGTTGATCCAGGGAATATCAGATTGCCTCTCGGGGGATCAGGAAGGAATTTTTTTCCCAGCAGGAGGAGATTGGATCGTGCTTTGCTGGTTTTTTTGCCTTCCTCTGGATCAACTGTAGGTGTAGGATTATAACTTTTTTTTTTTTAATGGTTGAACTGGATTGACTTTTGTCTTTTTTCAGCCAGACTAACTATGTAACGAAAGTGCTGCATACACTGTTGGCACTATATAAATTCTGTATAATAATAATTTGGAGGGGTGTCCCAATACTTTTGGCAATATAGTGTAAGTAAAGTCAGTAAACTCCTCTAAATGACGATGTGTACATGGACTCACAGGATAACATAGAGGAGAGTTCAGGGCCTTCCAGAAAAAAAAAAAATGGCCAACTGCTCCTATACGTTATTGTGGGGGAGGGGGCCCACTGGACACCTTGACTGCCATTGTGCTACATGCTGGGTGTCCAGTGCGCTCCTGTACCTTTAAGGAGGGGTGGGCTCCCTAAGGTTTCCCTGTCCTTGGTCTATCCATTAAATGTGCCTCTACTATGGGGGCTCTCAAAATTTTGTAGAGTTAGGTACTGCACGGTGAGGCCGTGAGGCCCATAATGCCTCATGTACACTGGCAGCTCCTAAACTTGAGTTTAGGAGCTTTTGGCATTTTTTTGCCAAAGCTTCTAAACTCAAGTCTGTATTCGTGTACACATGGGCTTTTAGCAGAGTTTAGAAGATGCCACGTTTTGGTGAGGTTAAACCTCCCTGTCCTGAAAAATTCCTGTTCAGGATAGGAACGTTTTGACCGATGGCCATGGGGAAAAAAACGCATGTAAATGCATTTTCAAGGGTTTTGCCGCGTTTTGCATTTTACTGCGGCCGCCGTCATGGGTAGACTAGTGTACATGTGTATGGGCGTGTTTGGCTTCTGTGCCAGAAGCCCTCCTTATCATTCCGGTGCATGCTCTGATTAGATTAGGGGAGGAGATGGGCTCCCTCCTCCCTATATATAGGTGTCACGTCCGGACGCTGGCCACACCCCTGAAGATGTCACTGATGACGAAACGCGTTGGGAGGAGCAAGAGTGCGTGACGTCAGCACGTACCGGAACTTGGCGGCCATCTTATGGGTTTGAAACATACCATTGGGATATATGGTTTTCACTTTTTCTTTGATGTACGTTCCATGGCACGTTTTAAGGCATTAAATCCTTTTGAATATACTACACTATGAGGATTTTCTTGTTCTTTGAATGGTATTGTCCTCCTCGAGGATAATTCATCTTTACAGGTTCAACTTTGGCCTTGGATTACCAGTTGGCAGCCAATGTCCTGACGATGGCAAGTTTTTGCAAGTGATCCAGCAGGTGTTTCCTCCATTCAACACCTGGGGGCCAGTTTGTCCTTTTGGAGCCAATTAGTGTCCGGGGGTCACAGCCTACATTTGGAATCTATACTGTGCTTTTTGACCCATACTCAACTGAAGGGTCACTATGGTCTAGTAAGAGGCAGAATTTTTTGGGGGTGTTGGTGATGGTGGACTCTCCCAATCTATTGGAACTTTATAATATTTTGGAATCTGTACTGCGCTTTTTGACCCATACTCAACTGAAGGGTCACAATGGTCTAGTAAGAGGCAGAATTTTTGGGGGGTGTTGGTGATGGTGGACTCTCCCAATCTATTGGAACTTTATAATATATTTGGACTCTGTACTGCGCTTTTTGACCCATACTCAACTGAAGGGTCACTAAGGTCTGGTGAGAGGCAGAATTTTTTTTGGTGATGGTGGACTCTCCCAATCTATTGGAACTTTATAATATATTTGGAATCTGTACTGCGCTTTTTGACCCATACTCAACTGAAGGGTCACTATGGTCTGGTAAGAGGCAGAATTTTTTTGGGGGTGTTGGTGATGGTGGACTCTCCCAATCTATTGGAACTTTATAATACATTTGGACTCTGTACTGCGCTTTTTGACCCATACTCAACTGAAGGGTCACAATGGTCTAGTAAGAGGCAGAATTTTTGGGGGGTGTTGGTGATGGTGGACTCTCCCAATCTATGGAACTTTATAATATATTTGGAATCTGTACTGCGCTTTTTGACCCATACTCAACTGAAGGGTCACTATGGTCTGGTAAGAGGCAGAATTTTTTTGGGGGTGTTGGTGATGGTGGACTCTCCCAATCTATTGGAACTTATAATATATTTGGACTCTGTACTGTGCTTTTTGACCCATACTCAACTGAAGGGTCACTATGGTCTGGTAAGAGGCAGAAATTTGGGGGGTGTTGGTGATGGTACTCTCCCAATCTAGAACTTTATAATACATTTGGGCTCTGTACTGCGCTTTTTGACCCATACTTGAAGGGTCACTAATTCTGGTAGGCAGAATTTGTTTGGGGGTGTTGGTGATGGTGGACTCTCTCCCAATCTATTGGAACTTTATAATATATTTGGACTCTGTACTGCGCTTTTTGACCCATACTCAACAGAAGGGTCACTATGGTCTGGTAAGAGGCATAATTTTTGGGGGGTGTTGGTGATGTGGACTCTCCCAATCTATTGGAACTTTTTATTTTGGAATTTATATGTCTGGCTCAATCTATACCAGACACCATTGGGCTTTAATTTGATACATTTTCTCTCATTTTGTCGTGATTATTCGAAGCGTCGCACCTTTTGTGTTTTATAATGTACATATAGCCTAAACAGGGACGGACTGAAACTCGTGGGGCCCCCGGGCAATAGGGGATCATGGGGCCCCTGTGTCTTCGCCCACACCCAAAAAACCCTATGAAAAAGCCAATGAAAGGTACCAGGGGCATCTCATGGGGCCCCCTACTGACCCCGGGCCCTCGGGCAGTGCCCGAGTGCTTGAATGGTCAGTCCACCTCTGAGCCTAAGTGTATTAACCCCTTGGCGCAGGGCGCCTCCCGGCCCTTTAAGGGTTTCAGAAGCCGGGAGGCGGGCAGGGTTTTAGGGTGATGTTACCGCTGTGATTCGCCGTCACGGCGGTCACATGATCGGGAAAGGTCCCGATCGAAAGAGGAGATCGAGACCTTTCCATGAGTACTGGACATGTGTGCTGGGAGTGCTGTCAGCACATATGTTTTTCTTAAGTGTACGCAAATGTGCGGCCGCTCGGTGTCAAGGCCCAGACTCCAGGAGGCCGCACATTTGCGTGCGGCCGGCGCCAAGAGGTTAAAGAGCTTCTTATGCTGAGTGTACGGAGCGTAATGAGGAAATGATATTTGCAGCAAACAATTCAAAGAGTACAAGATGTGGCCCACGAATTACAAGGGGTTAATTATGTATGTTTGTGGAGAAGAACCAATTTTAATTTGGAGTGCTGCCTCGAACACTAGCCTTGTTCTGCAACCTTAAGCCTGCCTTTTGGGGGCACTAGCGAGTGCTCTCTTCAGGGGTTTTCCCAGTTGGGAGCAGTAAGCCCCACCCACACACAGGTTGGGATGAATCCTAAGATCCTAGGACAGGGGGTGTCAAACCGGCGGTCCTCCAGCTGTTACGAAACTACAAGTCCCATCATGCCTCTGCCTTTGGGAGTGCTTGTAACTGTCAGTCTTGCAAAGGCTCATGGGACTTGTAGTTTGGCAACAGCTGGAGGACCGCCAGTTTGACACCCGTGTCCTAGGAGCTCATCCCTCCTAGTGGCAGAGAGGAATTACTGCAGGACTCCGCACCCGGATGGAAGATCGTGTATTGCTGCAAAAGCTGCTTTTTTATATTTACTTTTATTGGGCTTTTTTTTAATTAAATGTTGGAGTTCTACCTTAATAGTAACTGCATTAAAGAGCATTTTTATGTCTTTCAGGAGTTGAGATCTCACACCAGCCCCTGACTTTTCTGTGCCACTCTCAGTAGCTGGCTACAGAGGGGAGAACAGAATTCCTCCTACAGATCCTGCACTTTTCTGTGCAGCTGCGGAGAGACTCATCTCTGCCCCCCCCCCCCCCACTCTCAGTAGTTGACTACAGAGAGGAGAACAGAACTCCTCCTACAGATCTTGTACTTTTCGTGTAGCTGCAGCATAGAGACTCATCTCTGCCCCCCCATTCTCAGAAGTTGGCAACAGAGGGGAGAACAGAACTCCTCCAACAGATCCTTCATTTTTCTATGTAGCTGTGGAGAGACTCATCCCTGCCCCCCCCCCCCCCCCCTCTCAGAAGTTGGCTACGAAGGGGAGAACAGAACTCCTCCTACAGATCCTGCACTTTTCTGTGCAGCTGCAAGGAGACTCATCTCTGGCCCCCCCCCCCCACTCTCAGAAGGTGGCAACAGAGTTGAGAACAGAACTCCTCCTACAGATCCTACACTTTTATGTGTAGCTGCAGAGAGACTCATCTCTTTCCCCATTCTTAAAAGTTGGCAATAGAGGGAGGACAGAACTCCTCCAACAGATCCTTCACTTTTATATGTAGCTATGGAGAGACTCATCCCTGCCCTCCCCCCCCCCCCTCTCAGAAGTTGGCTACAGAGAGGAGGACAGAACTCATCCTACAGATCCTGCACTTTTCTGTGCAGCTGCAAGGAGACTCATCTCTGCCCCCCCCACTCTTAGAAGGTGGCAACAGAGGGGAGAACAGAACTCCTCCTACAGATCCTACACTTTTCTGTGTAGCTGCAAGGAGACTCATCTCTCTTCCCCCCCCCCCATCTCAGAAGTTGGCTACAGAGAGGACAGAACTCCTCCTACAGATCTTGTACTTTTCCATGTAGCTGCAAGGAGACTCATCTCCCCCCCCCCACTCTCAGAAGTTGGCTATAGAGGGGAGGACAGAACTCCCACTACGGATCCTGCACTTTTCCATGTAGCTGCAGAGAGACTCATCTCTGCCCCCCCCCCCCCCCCCCACTCTCAGAAGTTGGCTACAGAGGGGAGAACAGAACTCCTCGTACAGATCCTGCACTTTTCCATATAGTTGCGAAGAGACTCATCTCTGCCCCCCACTCTCAGAAGTTGGCTACAGAGGGGAGGACAGAACTCCTACTACAGATCCTGCACCTTTCTGTGCAGCTGCAGAGAGACTCGTCTCTGCCCCCCCCCCCCATCTCAGACGTTGGCTACAGAACAGAACTCCTCCTACAGATCTTGTACTTTTCCATGTAGCTGCAAGGAGACTTATCTCTGCCCCCCCCCCCCCTCTCACACAAGTTGGCTACAGAGGGGAGAACAGAACTCCTCCTACAGATTCTGCACTTTTATGTGTAGCTGCGGAGACTCATCTCTGTCCCCCATTCTCAAAAGTTGCCAATAGAGGGGAGGACAGAACTCTTCTAACAGATCCTGCACTTTTCCATGTAGCTGCGAGAGACTCATCTCTGCCCCCCCCCCCCCCCCCCCACACACACACACACACTCTCAGAAGTTGGCTACACAGGGGAGGACAGAACTCCTCCTACAGATCCTGCACTTTTCCATGTAGCTGCGGAGAGAGACTCATCTCTGCCCCCCCCCCCCCTCTCTCAGAAGTTGGCTACACAGGGGAGGACAGCGTTTTTTTAAACACCGGAGTTCTATACCTTAATAGTAACTGCATTAAAGAGCATTTTTTCTGTCTTTCAGGAGCTCAGATCTCACACCAGCCCCCGACTTCATCATTTCCAGGTGCCAGTGGACCTTAAATTCTGTCACTCCTAATCACACACTTCAGTCCTTCTCTCCATTCAGCAGAATTGACCTACATACATTGTATTTCCCTCCGGCCAGAGCAAAGGCTGCAACTATTATCCACTTTTCAGTCATTCCAATTTTACCCCCCCCCCCCGGCTCTGTCCCCAGGCACTCGCTCAGGTTGTCTGGATTATCCATTTGTCACACTCCTCAGTGATCCGTCACCGAGCAACGACCCGGGATGGCACAAGATATTACCTGCCGTGACCCGTTCACTTAGGAAATGGTTGGCCAATTTTCACTCCAGGCGGGGAGATGTGACGATTCCGAATGGCAGGCGTTAACCGCGGCTGGTCCTCGGCATGGCAGTCTTACAGGACCGGGGTGGCAGGCGTTAACCGCGGCTGGTCCTCAGCATGGCAGTCTTACAGGACCGGGGGGGTGGCAGGCGTTAACCGCGGCTGGTCCTCGGCATGGCAGTCTTACAGGACCGGGGTGGCAGGTGTTAACCGCGGCTGGTCCTCGGCGTGGCAGTCTTACAGGACCAGGATGGCAGGCGTTAACTGCGGCTGGTCCTCGGCATGGAAGTCTTACAGGACCGGGGTGGCAGGCGTTAACCGCGGCTGGTCCTCGGCATGGAAGTCTTACAGGACCGGGGTGGCAGGCGTTAACCGCGGCTGGTCCTCGGCGTGGCAGTCTTACAGGACCGGGATGGCAGCTGTTAACCGCGGCTGGTCCTCGGCATGGCAGTCTTACAGGACCGGGGTGGCAGGCGTTAACCGCGGCTGGTCCTCGGCATGGCAGTCTTACAGGACCGGGGTGGCAGGCGTTAACCGCGGCTGGTCCTTTGCATGGAAGTCTTACAGGACCGGGGTGGCAGGTGTTAACCGCGGCTGGTCCTCGGCGTGACAGTCTTACAGGACCAGGATGGCAGGCGTTAACTGCGGCTGGTCCTCGGCGTGGCAGTCTTACAGGACCGGGGTGGCAGGTGTTAACCGCGGCTGGTCCTCGGCATGAAAGTCTTACAGGACCAGGGTGGCAAGCGTTAACCGCGGCTGGTCCTCAGCGTGGCAGTCTTACAGGACCGGGATGGCAGGTGTTAACCGCGGCTGGTCCTCGGCGTGGCAGTCTTACAGGACCGGGATGGCAGGCGTTAACTGCGGCTGGTCCTCGGCGTGGCAGTCTTACAGGACCGGGGTGGCAGGTGTTAACCGCGGCTGGTCCTCGGCGTGGCAGTCTTACAGGACCGGGGTGGCAGGTGTTAACCGCGGCTGGTCCTCGGCGTGGCAGTCTTACAGGACCGGGATGGCAGGTGTTAACCGCGGCTGGTCCTCGGCTTTTCAGTCTTACAGGACCGGGGTGGCAGGTTCAGGAATCCTCAGTTATAGATGTGAAGAGACCAGACTTCATAATGAATGCTGCTCTGAAATACTCAGCTGTGAGGCTTACAGGACATGGCGGATCATGGCGGATCATGGCGGGGGCTCAGAACATGCAAAGACCTGAAAGGCGTCCCCTGAGGTTGAAAAGACGTTTCGAGGGAACATGAGCAAAAATAGTGTCCAGTACTAAGCTGCAGTAGTAATTGACCAAAACCAATGTCCCCCATAGGACACATGTCAACCACAAGGCCTGAAGGGGGAATTCGGCCCGCAAGCCCATTTCATGTGGCCCCCATACCTCTTCTACAGCTGTGGCACCCCCTCATCTCCACCCAATGACGGACTGGCAACTCATGGGGCCTCCAGGCAATAGGGGATCATGGGGCCCCTGTGTCCTTGCCCACACTCAAAGCACACCCAAAAAAGCCTGTAAAAAGGTACCAGGGGCATTTTATGGGGCCCCCTACTGACCCCGGGCCCTCGGGCAGTGCCCAAGTGCTCGAATGGTCAGACCGCCCCTGTCTCCACCCCATCTTGTCTCAGCAGTTGGAGGACAGAACTTCTCCATCAGATCCTGCACTTTTCCATGTAGCTGCGGAGAGACTCATCTCTGCCCCCCCACTCTCAGAAGTTGGCTACAGAGAGGAGGACTGAATTCCTCCTACAGATCCTGCACTTTTCTGTGTAGCTGCAAGAAGACTCATCTCTGCCCCCCATTATCAGAAGTTGGCAACAGAGGGGAGAACAGAACTCCTCCTACAGATCCTGCACTTTTCTGTGTAGCTGTGGAGACTCATCTCTGCCCCCCATTCTTAGAATTTTGTAACAGAGGGGAGGACAGAACTCCACCTACAAATCCTGCACATTTCTGTGTAGCTGCGGAAAGACTCATCTCTGTCCCCCACTCTCAGAAGTTGGCTACAGAGGGGAAAACAGAACTCCTCCTACAGATCCTGCACTTTTCCGTGTAGCTGCAAGCAGACTAATCTCTGCCCCCCCCCCCCCCCCCCCACACACTCTCAGACATTGGCAACAGAGGGGAGGACAGCACTCCTTTTACAGATAC